TTTTTTTTCCTTTTTGGCTTTAGGAGCACTGAACAGGGGCCTCTATGAGAACTGCTTTCACTTCCACTGGTGGTGATTCGGTAAATCACGTTTTTCTGGGTATCGGCCTCGTTTTCTTGTGGCGACAAGTTTCGAACTGCAAGGCTGGGGCCGTGTACAGGTGGTTTAACTCCCGAAGAATGGGTTCAGGCATTGACGCGGCTTCTGAGAGTTGTTGCTAACCAATGTGCTTTATCTTTTTAGTATACAGGCTAGTACTCTGATGTCCATCCTACCGACTTCAGAACCCTGATGATCCTGGTAGGCGGCCAGGTAAAAACGGTAGGGTCGTCCGCCATGCAAAGGTTTTTACCTTTGCTCATTTGCGCTTCATGATTATTTTTTTAATACAAGTCGCGTTCGGGGACATCGCTACTCCTCTTTTCCTTCTCCCTTCTCATCCTTCTCTGCTCCCCCTTCCTCTTTCTCCCCTCTCACTCCTTCACTTTCTGAATTGATGCTAGGGGTGCTGGTAAGAGCAGACACCACTAGCACTGTCGTGGAGGCTCCATCTATTGGTGGGGAGCAGCACCGGCTGGAAAGCGGGTCCGGCGTCCCTGAACATTGTGGTTGTCTGTGTGAATAGACATGCAATTGGAATGACTGAAAGCTACTGGGCTTCCCTATACTCTTAAGGAATACAAAGGGCCTAGCGTGACGCCCCGTGCTGGGCCCAGCGAAAATCCGTTTGGAGGGCGAGGCGAACCGGCGCAGGGGCGAGTCCCAGGTGGAGGCGGGTACCGACGGCCGAAGCGGTGGCACGAGGGATGCGGGCAGGCGAACCGGCGCACGGGCGAGTCCCAGGCCGAGGCGGGTACCGATGGCCGGGTGGAGGCCAATGGAAAGTTGGGGAGAGGCGGAAACTGGAAAGCATCGGCGCGCAGGCCGACGCGCGAACGAACGACGGTGTAGGGGCGTGGGGCGAGAGCGCGGGGTACCGAACCAAGTTATTGGAGCGTTGCTTTGCGGGGATCAACGGTAGCCGCGCGCGCGCGCGTGTGTGTGTGTGTGTGTGTGTGTGTGTGTGTGTGTGTGTGTGTGTGTG